CATTCAGGATCTTCAGAGTATCCGTATAAGCTGGCAGAGCCCAGTGCTGTCACTTGCCTGTGGATATTGCCAGTGTCCCCCACTTGAAGCAAAGCCATTCCTGCAGAGATCGAGGTGCACCCAACATCCTTTCTAATCTTATTTTACCTTTATTTTCCTGTTTTACACTCAAGTGACCCTTCTCTAGGAGTTTCACTGTGGGCTTTTGGGTTATCTTTGAAGAAGGCTTTTTTGGGGTCCCCTACCCCTACTATGTCAGCCACACATAGAATTTTCTTGGAAAGCTGGTGAGCTTTATTCTTTACACACATTTATCCAAGGAATCCAACAAGTGGCTTTAAACATTCTTTGGCTTTATGACTGGGTTTTAAAATTGTACTAACTCTACAGAACAAGGATTTATATATTGTTAAATAAATTGATACAGAAAACTGTAAGAAATTAACAGATAACTAGACAAATGGCACAAAGAGACTATTGTCAAAAAGATGAAAAGTTTGAACGGGTAAGGAAAAGAGTTCAACCTTACTAGTAATTTCAAAATTCAAAATGAAACAATATTCCATCTTTGGCTTATCAAATTAGCAGAGAATTTAAAAGGTGAATGCAAAATGCTGGTACTGAAAAGGGCATTGGGTATTGAACTGGGTAGGCAAATTGTTACAATCCTTTTAAAAAGCAAGCAATTACATGATATAAAGCAAATATTATTGAACCCAGCAACTAGATTTTGGGAGCTATAAACTAGGAACATAATCTATTATACTAAAAGAAAATTTTTACCCAAAATGTTCATCTCAGCATTATTAGTAATAATAAAATGTTAGGAAAACACTTAAATGTTCAAACACAGGGAAATACGGTTATCACAGTGATATTCACCAAAAGTGAACGAAAAAATGCTTATTTTTTAATGCTAAATGAAAGCATAAGAAATAAAACGTGTGTGTATACACAGGTATGTTCTACTTCTCATGTAAAATAAAGATTATACAGACAAAAATATGATGATTGCTGTGCATCTTTAGGCGACTTTTTCCTCCTTCTACATTTGTATATTTTCCAAATATCCTATAATGAAAATATACAGTATTAGCTTCTCAAATTAAAAAATGTTTTTCAAAATTTCTTTCTTGTTTTTCAACGCCATGTTTGGTTCCAATTTCTTTTTCTAAACTCAGAGAGTAGAGATCAGCGTCCTGGTTCCCCTTTCCTCCAGGCTGTTCTGTCCAGCGTGACCTGCAGGGTTGATGCAGAAACCCCGCTTGGCTGCAGGGCCTTCGCTGGTCGGGCGCATCCAGGGTGATTCCGCTGCAGGTGGGGCCTTATGCTACCTGTTCTAGGGCCGATTCATCCAGTCTGCAGAGCTCGTCTCCTCTCCTTGCCCAGAGAAGTGTTCCAGGGGGAGGGAGGGGCAGAAGCAACAGCCCTGAGGCGAGAAGGAACTGGGTGTCTTTGAGGAAGGAAGAAGCTCAGACAGCTGGAGCACAGGGAGAGGACTGAGACCAAGGAGGCCAAGGAGGCAGGAGGCTCAAGGTCATATATGGCCTCTTAGGTCCTGGCGGGAGTTTGGATTCTATTCCGAAAGTAATTAGCAGCCCCTGAAAGGTATGAGCCAGGAAGTCACATGATCCAGGGGCAATTTGAGGCAGCTCGGTCTGTCTGTGGTGATCGCCCTACAGAGAGGCCTGAGTTGAGGTCACAGAGGTCAGTAGGGTTATATCGCATCATCTTAAAAGTTGGGATTCAGGGAATGGGGAAGTACTGACAGAATTTGGGGAGGAAGACGGACAGGGAGGGGCATGCCCACAAACCACCTGGTTGCCCCACCTGTGGAACGCTGGCGGGAGAGGAAAGGGAATAGTGGAGAAGGAGTCCAGCGTCTGACCTGGGTGAGAGGCCATGGGATCCTGCTCCTGAAGCCCGGAACACAAATTGGAGCGACCCAGGCTTGGGGTTCTGGAAAGCAAGCCCACCTTTGGTGCTGGTGGTTGAAGCCAGGCAGGTATCCTGGGGCCAGGTCGGTGCCTGGGCATCGGGGCTGGACCTGACATCTACTGGGCATCTAGGGGTCTCCAGGGCCTCAGCAATGCTGCTGACCTCCAGGAGGGAGAGCTCGCAGGATCCATTTCAGAAGGACCCCAGCCCCACTCCTGGGCCGCGTTTGCCATCCCCCACCCCCATTTTCAGGCAGTCTCCCCTGATTGGAAGGCTGGGGGGAGGGAAGTGAAGTTGGGAGTCTAGGGGCCTGGCTGATTGGCACCGTGACCCCTACCTGCAACCATCCAAGGGTCCCAGGGCCCGAACGCCTGGCTGGAACCCGAGCATCCTGAGGACTTGGAGCACCTGTCCCGTGCGGGTCCGGGGGTGCTGGGGTCCCTGACTGACCGCATGAGCAGGGGGTGCAATCTGCACAGGAGGGACCCCTGGATGTCCTGCCCGGCGCCTCTCTGACCACCCCTTCTTCCTCACCACCGTTCAGACCCGGTGTCAGGGATTACAGAGTATAATATTTACTGGAACACAGATGAACAGACAACATAAACATTTCAAATGTGATAAATATTTATTAGACACATACGCAATTGATTGGAATACAGCCACGAATCAGATGAATGGGCAAGGGGCTTAACGGATTGTTGAATTGTCCCTGAGTGGGGGAGGGCGGTGCCTGGGGCAATTCCCCGTAGTAAATTTCAGGAGGGTGAGATTGCCAGGGGAGGAGGAGGGGCCGGGAGAAGGAGGCAGGGGCAGGGAACTGTGAGGATCTGGGAACTGGTTCTCTGAAAACCCCCGGGGTCCACATACTGGGGAAAGCCTTTTCTTGCCCGTCCTGGGTCGTTGGTGCTCTAACTACAGGGTCGCTACTCCACGCCCTATTCAAGACTCTGACAGCGCTGGGGAGGAGCCTCAGGTCCAGATGCCAGCCCTGCTGATCGTGCATGGATTCCCCTCCCAGGAGGGAGATCTGAGTTTTAATGACGTCGCAGGCTGTGGGCCAAGCTTCAAATGCAAAAGAAACGGCCGCTGCTAAAGTATATCATTAACGATTTGAAGAGGGTTGTCCCACAGATCTAAGATCCACCGCTTTGACAGTCCCCTGTCTTCCCTTTAACTTCCTGCTCTCTCTTGAGAACTGAAGGTATGTGCGGCACAGTGTTTGTAAGATTCTGTGACAGGAAGTCTAGCACCTCCTGGCTCTAAGTAGGGGGCCCGGACCAGGGTCACGGAACAGTCTCCGATAACAAGCGGTAATGAGAGTGGCAAAAGCAGCATTTTATCCGGTTGTTCAGAGATGAGCTTTCTTGGATAGTGTAAAGGGGAAGGAAATGGAAACTAATCCCCTAAAGAAGGTTAATAGTATCCACGCATTTAAATTACATCAGTCTCGTTACGGAGGATTAAGAGTTGGAGATTCTGCACATTCACGCTGTGAAATTCCAGGAGCGTTTCCATCTTCCCAGAGGCAGTCTCTTTCTGAGTTGTTGCTCAGGAGCAGGAAGGCTCAAATTTTGGGCCTCAGGATCCCTTTACGCTCTTAAAAATCATTAAGGACCACTAAGAATTTTTGTTTATGCAGCTTATTAATGAATAATTTTAAAAACTTCATTTGTCAATTCATTTTAAAGCAGAGATGAACCCATTTCATGTTAACATAAAACATATTTTTATGAAATATATTTATATTATCCGAAACAAAAAAAAAATAGTGAGAAGAGCAGTATTATTTTATATTTTTGGAAATCTCTGTAATTTAGTAAAAGACAGCTGGATTCTCACATCTGCTTCTGCATTCGGGTAACTCCGCCCTACGCTCAAGAGAAAACAAGGGTGAAAGGGGCAGGAAGGTCTGGCGTTGTTGCAAACATGGCTTTGACCTCATGGACCCCTTGCAAGGAACGACCTCAGATGTCCTTAGGGTCCTCAGGCCGGGTTGTGAGAACCGCAGCAACTGATCAAGGGCAGCCGAGCTCCAAGGGGTGGGGGTGGGGTGGGGGGGGAGCGGGAGAGAGACGACGTGGAGGGCGGGCATTGCCAGGGCACGTTTCCGCTCCAGCTTCACACCACGTTGGTCCCCAGAAACCTCCCCGCCCCCCCAACAGGCAGGTGGCTCCAGGGAGGAGTCCTGCGGTTATTTTAGGATTCATCCATTTTGTAATGCACAAGGTGTTTTAACTGGAGTATTTTTTTCTAATAGGAAAACATTGTGAACCTAAATGTATAGCAACAGTAGTGATTAAGTAAATTATATTTTCTAAAGCCGAATACTCTGCAGCCATCAAAAAGAAAGTAAAAAGGGAAGATGTACTCAATATTAATATTCTCAGGGTTTGTTAAACAGAGAACACAAAGTATAGAACGATGTGTATATTATGATCTTTTTTTAGTGTATTTTAGAATAAGACGTGTAACCGGGAAAAGACATAAGAAATTGCCTATGAGGATTGGTTATCTTTGGGCCGATATAGAAATTTTAAAAAATTTAAACCTTCCATGAGGAAGATGGGCACGGATGTTAGCTCAGGGCCAGTCTTCCTCAGAAAAAAAGAGGAGGATTGGCAGATGTTAGCTCAGGGCTAATCTTCCTCGAAAAAAAAAAATTTAAACCTTCCAGCACTGAGTAACATATTGTGTACAATTGTATTAGGTCCTTAAAGAAATGGGGACAGGAGAGGTTTCGCGGCGGCGGGAGCAGGTTCTATTTCCGCCCTTTTTGCGCAGTCCTTGGTGGGAACCCCAGGAAGACTCCTGCGGGCTCGCAGCCCGCCCCTCTCCGCTGAGCCCGCCGCTTCCTTCCCTCTTGCCCCGCCCACGCCCCGCCCTCGCCCCTTCCCATTGGTCTGCCGCCTCTCCATCGCGTCCAATCGCAGCGCTCAGCGCCAAATTTGAATCGCTGTTTTCATTTGAATTGGGAGAGCGAGGCGGGCGGGCTTTCCGCGCCCGAACCGCTGACGCCGGGCATCTCCCAGACGTAGCTGGGCAGGGCCACCTGGTCACCGGCGAGGGCGGCGGCGGGGGGAGCGGGGACTGCGGCCGCGGCGGAGGGGGGCGCGGGACCGGGCGGAGTCCCGGTTCCTGTAGAGCGTGGCGGGCGGTGGACACAGGTGGACTCGTCGCCGGCTCCTCAAGGTGCGGACTTGGGTTGCGCCTTGACAAGCAGTGGACCCACTGGTGACGGTGCGGGCGACTCGTCCTTGGTGAGCTGCGGCCGGGGCGCCTCCAGGGGGGGCGCGAGGGGCGGCTGTCCGGACGGAGACCGCGGGGACTCCTCCGGGCTCTGAGGGGACCTGCGCTGGGAGCGCGGCATGGGCCGGGCTCATCCCTGTCCCTGTCTCGGTGGGAACTCCCGGGAGACGCGGCCCTAGTGGCCGGCGTCCTGGCCGCGGGTCTTGGGGGACTGTAGGTGCTGGTGGGCAGCCCCCGGGACCTGGCTGGGGCTTCCACAGGGGTCAGGTGAGGTGTGGGCCGGGGCGGCAGAGGCATGGTGAATTGTACAAGCCACCCCAATCCGTCGCTTACAAGTGACTTAGCTCTTTGCTTTCAGAATAACCTCCCCCCAACCCACCCCGCCGCGTGTGTTATTCGGTTGTTTAACTCAGTGGCTGTTCCTGCAGTGCAAGAGTGGCTTGTAAGTTTGCTGCAGCAAACCTTTTGATGCCTGACCTTCCCATACGGATTATACTCCAAATCTTGTTTAGAAAATGGGTTCTACAGGACGCCTTGTTACCATCAAAAGGAGCGGGGTCGACGGTCCCCACTTCCCTTTGAGCCTCAGGACCTGCTTGTTTGGAAGGTGAGCCCTGCGCATGTGTGGACAATTCAGTTTAAAAGACTTTAATATCTTCATCACAGATTTAACAGGCTGTAGGCTTGGCTCTAGGAGTATTTCCTGCCTTCAGGTTTTCCTCCAGAGGCCCTATGTATAGTCAACTGGACATAGTTGTTTATTATGACATAGAAGCTTGGAAACAATGTTTATGTAGCTATTTTTCTAATCAAACACAAATTTTAAAATTGATTTGATAAAGATCTCTAAATGGAGGAAAATGCAGACGATTCTCAAATCCTGATTCACTTCAGGCAGTCTTTAGAAGACCACTGTTCATCTGAAATCCCTCCAAACTTGGTCTTCCGTGGCTCTTGGAGGACGCTGTTGAGCAAAGGAAGGAAGGAGGCTCTGCAGATGGTTTGCGGTCTTTTTGGAAAAATGAAAATGGGAGGGAAAGCCCTCCTGCTAGTGTTTTGAGAACTCCTCTTTTGTTGCTTTCCAGGGTTGGTGGCAATAACTAAGGTCCCCCAATAACAGGAAACATTGTTAATTGCACCCTCTTTCATTTTCTAGCAAATGACAGGTCACTTCCCCCGGAGTCCTGTGTGGTGTGACACCCCACTCCCTTCTACCCACAAACTGTCCTACCTGCCTCATCCCTACCATGTTTATCCCACCTTAGAAATTCCAAGCTCTTCTCACCTTGGTGCTTTTAGCCAGTTTGAACTTTATGACTGGAATGTTCTCTTTGCCCCCCTGTGTGGGTGATTACTTTCTAACTTTCAGATATTGGTTTAAACGTTACCTGAAAAGAAGCCTTTAAGGAAAATTGCTCTTGCCTTTCCTGGCACCACACATGGTGAAGAGTCTTTGGTTTGTCTGTCCCACTGCTAAGCTCTCCAAGAACAGGGACTACCTAGTTAGTAATTATGTACTGAGTGCCTGGTATGGGGTCTAGGAAGTGAGAGGTGATGAATACTTAGTACTCTCTAAGTGTCCGGTAGAAAGGTGGGCTGGATTTGGAATCATGTAGCAGTAGTTCTCAGCCTAGGGCCACTTTGCCCCCCAGGGGACTTTTGGCAAGGTCTGGAGAGGTTTTCCCGAGTCGCATGTGGGAGGCTAATGCCACTGGCGTCAGTGAGCCAAGATCAGGGATGAAGCTGAATGTCCTACAATGTACAGGCCAGCCCCCACTTCAAAGAATCACCTGGCCTGAAATGTCAAGAGAGCGGAGGTTAAGAACCACTGATGTGTAGTGATTCTGTTTGGTAGTTTCCTGCCAAACGAATTCTAAGTTCTAATGAGATAGTCTCTCTCTCTTGCTGGAATGTTCTTATACCTCCAAATCAAATTCTCTTCTTTGTTTTAAAGTCGCTGTTCACTTTCCATAGCTGCTTTTCTCCTCAAAGGAAAAAAATTAAACATTTTGGTATCAAATGGCAGTAATTCTGGTTATTATACAGCAGTGAATAGGTGTATTTTTAGGTAAGATTTTGTAATTTAGAAACCCGTTCATAAGAGTATGGTCGGATGATATGGGTGGGAAGAGAGAGTCTCAGACTCGGGAGCTTCCTGCTGAGAACAGAGAGGAGAGTATATAGTTGTTCAAACTTACGGTAACGGGGACACCAGAGACCCGAGGAGCCTCACTGAGGCCTCTTGATTGGTTTCCCTGTGGGTTCGCGTATTCTTCCTTCTGGCACTTCCTGTTGATGCTCTTCCTGTGCAAAGACAGGTTGAGTCGAACAATGCTTTTTCGTTGCATACAGATTAGTATTTTTAATGCTAGGAGGTTTGTGAATCCGTCCTTTAATATAGTGTAGTTTTAAAACAACAATAAAAGCTCACAGGTCATGAGCTTTGACTGTGTGCCAGGCAAATGACAGACACGTATACCTCATTTGATTGTTTGAACAACACCATGGCATGGGTGCTATGTAATCCTCCTTTTGTATATGAAGAAACTGAGGCACAGAGAGATGCCAGCATAAAACACAGCACTTCTGGTGGTGATTAAACCTTTAAACGTTCGTAGCATTACCAATAAACATAGATAAACTTTTTTTATAGGGAAAAAGCAGAGTATTAAAAATAATTATCATTATCCAAGCTGATATAAAGTACTCCTTTATTTGGGTCTTATAACCATAGATATTTTAGTAAAAGGCAATTCAATTTTGTATTATATATACAAATACGCAATATATAAAATTTTCTATTATAATTATTTTTAAGTACTCTAAGTTTTAAAGATTTAAAATAGTTGTTTATGCAATACTTGTAAAAATCCTTTGCAAAATGCAAGGATCATTTACATTGCCCAATATGTTGTCCCTTTATGTCATTATATTTACAGATAAGCATATAGTCAAATGTTGTTTTATTTTGAAAAGTTGATGTAATTTTTTTAAAAAATTGCAACAACCTAAAAAAACCTTAACTCTTTTCACTTAAGGGGTGTGGAATGTGACATCCGTATCCAGCTTCCTGTAGTGTCAAAGCAGCATTGCAAAATTGAAATCAATAAGCAAGAAGTAAGTGGGCTTTTAGAAATCTATTTTTTAGAACTTTTCATTTTACTTTTTGTCTATTTATTAGTTACATCTTTTTCTCCCTTCTTCTACTTGTAGGCAATATTGTTTAATTTCAGTACCACAAATCCTACACGAGTAAATGGATCTACTTTTGATAAACCTGTACAACTAAAACATGGGGATGTGATAACCATTGTTGATCGATCTTTCAGGTAGGTAAAAACTAATTGGGCTAAAACTAAATGGATCTTTTGATGCACCAAAAGCTAGCCTCGCACATCATCTGTGACCCTTTAACGTTGGTGAATGTCAAAGTGTTTAGGCTGTCCTTCTCAATGGTAATTCTTCATCTGAAATCATACGGATCTAGAAGGAAAGACAAATCGGGCTTATGTGATTCAATTCAAGGATTTGAGTGCACATGACTCTGCCAAAGCGGAGGGACCAGATCCTAAAACAGTTTTATTTTGTTGTGAGTGTTGTGAACCTGCCTACATTTTCTAGTTTCTTTTTTATTTCAAAGTAAAATACGCTCGTGGAGAAAGATACAAAACAAGACATAAGCCTAATTTACCATGAGGCGAACACCCTTGTGAGTACCACCTGTTACGGACTGAATGGTGCTCTCCCAAAATTCCTATGTTGAGGTCCTAACCCCCCAGTACCCCACAGTATGACTGTTTTTGGAGACAGGGCCTTTAAAGAGGTGATTAAGTTAAAATGAGGGCGTTGGGCTGGGTCCTAATCCAATCTGACCCATGTCCTTATAAGAAGAGGAGATGAGGACGCAGAGAGAGAAGCTAGGGGAGCCGGTGCTCAGAGGGACCTCCATGTGAAGAGGCGGCAAGAAGGCGGCCACAGCAAGCCAAGGGGAGAGGCCCAGAGGAGACCAACTTCCCGACACCGTGGCCTCAGCCTTCCAGCCTCCAGAACTGTGAGAAAATGAATTTCTGTTGTGGAAGCCACCAGTGTGTAGTGTTTTGTTATGGCGGCCCTAGGAAACTAACACACCACCCGAACCATAAACAGAACATTTCTAGAGGCTTCTTCCATGACTACTTCTTTCGCTCACCAAGAAACCACTGGTCTGGCTTTTCTGATAGCATCAAAGTCTTCACAGTTTGGCCACCTGAGCACGCATCTCTAACCACTGCCACTTTCTCTGTCCTTATTAAACTCCGTACATTTGAAACGATGAAGTATGGATTTGTAACTGACTCCTGCTCTTAAGGTTGTGAGATTCGAGCATGGATGTTACAGTTTGTTCCTTCTCACTGCATGGGTATTTCATCGAAATAATAGATGCAGTTATAAACACAATTATATGCCATTTATCCATTGTGGATGGACCTTTGAGTAGTTTTCCATTTTCTGAAATGAGTCAGGGCTTGTTTTATGATCAGATATGGTTAACTTTCTACTCCTCTGTGTGTTGGTGATAAGAAGGTGTATTCTACAGCTGTCGGGTGTGGTGGTCCACCTGTATACGTCCTTTAGATTCAAAATCCTAACTCTAGTATCACAGTAGTTTTTTCCCCTGCTTCTTAGTTACTCAGGCAGGTAAGTTGAAATCGTGCATTGAGGACTTTTTTCTTGTTTTTGTTTCTTAGTTGTCAGTTTTTGCTTTATACATTTTGAGCCTATACTTTTCTGTTTAAATTTAGAATTATGTCCTTCCCGTGGCTGAAGCTCTGTCGTTTATCATTTTGACATGCCTTCCACTTTTGGTAATAGTTTTTGATTAGTGGTTATATACTATAATTTTTTCTATCACATTACTTTTAACTTTTCATAATCTTTAAGGTTAAGTTGTCTCTTAGAACCGGCTGGTAGGTGCACTTTTGTTTATAAGTGGTATATCTTGATAGGTTGACCCTTTTGTTCTTATAAAATGTGGCTGGTCTCTGTGAACAATGTTCATCTTCAAGTCTACTGTGTTTGAGGGTAGTGTAGCCTCCTCAGCTCTCTACTGGTTGCTGTTTGCATGGTGTATCTTTTCCCATCCTTTTAATTTCATCCTATTTGTGTCTTTGAATCTAAATTGTGTCTCTTGTAGACAGCGTATAGTTGGATCAGTTTTTTTCATCCGTTCTGCTAAGTGGAATTCTGCCTTCATTTGTATTAAATGGGTATTTTCTAATGTACTATTTGAACTCCCGGGCCATTTCTTTTACTGTGATTTTTGTTGAGATGCTTTCATTTTTAAAGGATATTTTTATTGAATATAGACTTCTAGGTAGGAAGTATTTGATGTGGAACGGACACCAGAACTCTCTCTCCAGAAGGAGATGCTGTTCAAACTGGGATTAACTGAGATGATTAAATACCTCCCCGAAAGAACAGCAAATGGCTCTTAGGGGAGGGACTTGAGTCAGAACTCTGCTCCTTAAGAAGCAACTCCAGATGCCTGACTGCTCCACATCTCACTGAGGGGGCACCTAAATTCGAATCAGGCCACCATACTGAGATACCCAAGTTCAGTATGCAAAATAAAAGGTTGCTCTGTGAATTGCTACCCGAGGTCTGTTAGATCAACTGTGTATCTTTCTAAACGTGGCCTTCATGAGATGTGCCTGTCTTTGTTCAGACACACATGGAATAAGTGGGAGACTGGAGAGATCGTAGTAGTCTTAAGTGAAAGGATAGCGCTATAGTGTCCCTGTGGTAGGTGACATCACAGAGTGATTAAGGGGTTGGGCACTAACAGGTTTGCTGGTTGATCTTCCAAGCCATCAGATTTTCAGGAACATAAACTAGTGGAAACCCGAGATGGCTCTCACGTGCCGTAGGTTCGCACACGGGCGGTGCTCAGGGATGCTGTCGAATCATGCAGGCTGCTCAGTATTCAGAAATTTATCTGGGACCCCAACCTCTAACAACAGCTTTCCAAAAGAAACTTGAGGCAGCTTATCTAGATTTTTAGAGTAAAAACACTCTCCTAACTCTAAATTTATTTCCATAAATAAGGTAATAGTTTGAACAAAGCCTGAAGTTTGTTCCCTGCTCCTTGGGCGTTAACCAGATATGGAGTCTTTACCATCAGTTGCAGGTCTTTACTCTAAACGTGTATCTCATTCTATGCACTTCAGGTATGAAAATGAAAATGAAAGTCATCAGAATGGAAACGAGTCAACTGAGTTTCCTGGACAAAGACGTGAACAGGTGATGGGGGAGATTCTCTAACTTTGGGCATGACGTGAAATCATGATGTGCACTTTGATGAATGGATTCTCACAAGGGAAGGGGACTTGGCAGTTTTGGTGGGAAAATGTAACTAAGGTATTAAAACAAGTTGAACTTAGACATATAAAAATAATTTAAAACTATACTTTCTCTTTGTTTTCAAAATGAGAGTACCAAGGCAGCCTTAACACTTTTGGTCCAAAAAGTTCCCAGAGTCTCTCCTGATCTGATCTTCTTGCAAACTTTGGCTCAGACAACTCCAACACATAGAACTGAAATTAGGAACTAAGTTGTCTGTTGGCTCATTTTGTCCCCCAGTCAATCTACTCATCCATCTTTATGCATCTGAAATAATCATGTCAGAGTTGTGAGTGTCAAAGATGCTTCTCAGTTTTGATATACAGATGACCTGTGACCCTGGAAGAGCCCGTGCTGGGTCGTGTGAGAGAATCTCATCACGTGTGTCTATCAATAGAGAAAACGTATTCCAAACGGTTCAGCTTATGAAAGCATGATTCTGGGGCCGGCCCGGTGGCGCAGCGGTTAAGTGCGCATGTTCTGCTTTGGTGGCCTGGGGTTCGCTGTTTCAAATCCTGGGTGCGGACATGGCACTGCTTGGCAAAAGCCATGCCGTGGTAGGCGTCCCACGTATGAGGTGGAGGAGGATGGGTATGGATGGTAGCTCGGGGCCAGTCTTCCTCAGAAAAAAGAGGAGGATTGGCAGCAGTTAGCTCAGGGCTAATCTTCCTCAAAAATAAATAAATAAATAAAAAAGCAGAAAACAAATCCAAATAAATGTTTAAAAAAAAAAACCAAAACATGATTCTGGACCTGTCGTTGGAGATTTAGTAGGATTTAGTAGATTTAAGGTAAATCCTGAGAATTTCTGTCTTTCCTGCTTTTCAGGAAGCTACCCAAGTTAGTCTCAGATGACCAGGTTGGAATTCACTGGTTTAGGACAGTCGTCATAGGTACGCCTGAAATTAGCAACAGGCCCTTCAATGGAAGGCCCCTGCTCCCACTGGGTGATGCTTCTTCCCGGGAGAGTACCCTGCACGTTGACCCTCTGCTCATCAGCTTTGGGGGCAAGTTAGCTTTTGAGGTATCCCACACACCAGCCACCATCCTAACTTGTTGGTAGGTGGAAGCAAACTAACCAAAAAAGCTGGACTGTGGGTTCAGTAAGTGCCACTCAGGGGTCTAGGAACTGCTCGTTATCTGGATTGTGAAAAAGTAAATATTGAAACGGAATGCTTAGAACATAGAGCAATTTGACAATGATTTTTATGGCTATTGAATATAACAGTACAAAAGATATGGGCTTATATTTTGTACATTTTTTTTTTCCCTGAGGAATATTAGTCCTAAGCTAACATCCACTGCCAATCCTCCTCTTTTTGCTGAGGAAGACTGGCCCTGAGCTAACATCCATGCCCATCTTCCTCTACGGTATATGTGGGACGCCTGCCACAGCGTGGCTTGACAAGTGGTGCATAGGTCCACCCCCGGGATCTGAACTGGCAAACCCTGGGCTGCTGAGGCAGAACGTGCGAACTTAACCACTGTGCCACTGGGCCGGCCCCTATTTTGTACATATTTAAAAATTTCAATTCATTTTTATTTAGTCATACAATTCTTGGTCAACTTCAGCTTGGAAATTAAAAACTGATCCTTCATGTGGGAAATTTGTGAAGCTAATGAGATAGATACCAAGAAATCTGAAACTGATTTAAATTATTTGCCTTGGGTATATTTTGTGGGGTTTTTTCCCCTGACAATTCAGATATAATTTTCCTCCTTTGAAACAACATTGCACTTTTATGTCTTGCATACGTGTAATTCTGAAGCTCTTCCTCGCCGTCTAAGGTAAGTTCCCTGTGAAACATTGCGAAGGCGCTGTTAACGGCGTGTCGAGGAAGAGTGCTGGGCCTGGTGGCTGTGCTCTACACTGCTGGTGCACTGTTCTGCTTGTGTTAACTTCTGGGTTTTCAGATCTGCCCTCAGTACCTGCCAGCCAAAGAGCCCACGTGCCCAGTGGAGCCTCGGTTCCCGCCCAGGTCCTATAGCCGATTTCCGATACAACTGAGTCTAAAGTCAATGATCCTGGGCCTTTGGTAGGTTGATCGATACTGCGTGTTGTGAGGGTTAATTTTAACCTTGCTGCTTCTTTCATATGGTGACAAGAAAGAAGTTTGAGGAAGTTATAAATACTTACTGAGCTTCAATTTAAGCAATTGTAAGCTTGAAGTTTGTTTCTTATTCCATCAAATTTTTAAAAATCAGCCGAGAAATACTTGTATTATGACCACTAGCACCTGAACGTCTTGGACTCGCTTCTCAAAGTCTCTAAGAGTCGTCATACAGGAACAGTTTGGTAAAGAAGATCATCAATAGGAAGAATATTTTAATAAATATGACTGTCGGTATTTGAAAAGGCGTCTAAATTGCTATTCTTATTTTGCCAATTCACAGGGATCTCTCCGTCGGGCCTCAAGATCGAGCTTCTCTCCGGACCCTGGTTAGTATTTTGGTTTTGTTATGGGATCCTGGAAGATCAGTTCTCTGTAACATTACAGGAAGGAAGGGACAATGAGAACACAAGTGTTACATATCTAGGCTCACAAAAATTAAGAGGTTGTGTCATTTAATATCACAAATGTAGTCAGACACCTGAGTTAACTTTTTCCTAAGTGCTGTATGAGGCACCATGCTTATTGGAGAGTCCACATATAACACATCTTCTTGCTCACTTGTCAGGTTAAATTCTGAATAGATTAATAGTATTTGATGTCTCATACTGGTTATGAGAGGCCAACGTGATTTTTCAATTTAGACCAGAAAAATAGTATGAGAATACCATTATTACACAGTTTGGGCATTAAGTAATTTGTAGGCTACGTGAAAAGCTAGGTTATAAGACAATTTGAAATAGTTTTCAAATTTGAATACTGCCTATGTTAATCATTGAGAAAATCTTGAACTTCCGTTTCTTATTTCCTAACTCAACATCAAGACGGGAAAGTTCAAGATTCTGATGCCCGTTCAAAACTCACTGAAGAGAGTGTTTCAGCAAGGGCTCTGGTACACGTGAAGAATGTCGAAGCAGCTGATACTGTCTCCGATGATTCAGAAGATCATGTTGCCAGGAAAACACCTACTGTTCTTCATTCTTCAGGACTTCCTGGAGACAACTGCAGAAATGCAATGGATCCCCCTCCTGGGGATTTGAAAGAAGATTCCAGTGTGACGTTAGTGAGCCGTAATGGAGAAGTGAAGTCTGTTCCGTCTACACAGTGTCTTAGGAAGAGTGAAAACAATGACTCTCCCTTTAGGAAGCTTTACGAGTCAATGAAGGAAGAGTTAGACGGGAAATCAGAAAAAGAAAATGTTCTGTGGAGTCGTAGAAAATCAGGATCACAGAGTCATTGCCCAACAGAAAACAAAAGTGCTGGTGGTTTACAGGGCGGGACACGAGTGTTGGTCTCACTTAAATCCAGACCGAAATCGGGTGGAAGTACTCAAATTAAGGCAGACCCTGTTTCGGCAGAACAAGGAAGTAGCCAGACTGAGGAGAAGACAACTGACGAGGAGCCTGTTCAGACTCCCCAGGAGACCACGAGTCCCAGCGGTCCCCACCTGGAGACGCCGGGCACCAAGACCCCGGCACAGCCTTCACACCGGAGTTCCTCACGGAGGCGTCCGAGTGAAGACCGGAGTGTTAGCCAAGGGAGCGAGTCTGTGAATCCGGGTCAGAGGGAAGGCTTCAGGGCAGATAATAAAACCTTTACTCCTCGGAGGTCCTTAACTAGAAATCAGACACCCACTAACGTTGAAAATGCTGGTAATTTTGGAAATACTCCAGAAAAGCTCTTTTCCAAAAAGAGGAAGAGTCTGCCAACAAATGTTGACGTTCTTACTACAGAAACAGAAATTCAAAATCAAACTATTTTAGCTCCATTGCTCGTTCAAGTTGAAGGGAAGATTCAAAACGATGCCCTCCACAAGCCTGAGAAACTGGACACCGCAGCTGGACAGACGCGCTCCGGGTCACCTGACCTTAGTTCAGTCGATGTCGGCAAGTTCGGTGACTCCATTAGTAAGTTTATTTAACTCAATTTATTTTCCCCCAAAAGTTCACACCTACCTTTTATTAGATACGAATGAAGGAGGGCTTCCTTCAGTCAGGAATGATCTGCTCTGTGGTAGAGAATCTAGGAGCTGCTGGGAGTACAATGATGAGACCGCCATATTTGTTGTCTCCTCTGATAGATTCTCACTGAACACCTGGATAATTATAACACGGAGGGACCGAGGAAGTGCAGGTTGTCAGGGAAGAAAACAGGGGGGAATCTAAGGAGATAGGGTGGTCCCAGAACATGTTTGAGTCTCCTGGTCAATCTCTGGCAAGATAGAAAGGAGAATAATCATAATTGCTTTTCACAGGAGGTTTAATTCTGAACTACAAGCGCCTGTATCCTGTGAGTTTGATCCACTGGATTAAGTCAAGGGGAATCCCTTGGAAATCTTTTAATATAGAGTGGCTCTCAGATATTTCTGCTCTGTTCTCAGGGTCTCCTACGAGCAGTTTCTTACAAACACTGGACTGTCCCCATGGCTTTATGTGCCAGGCGCTGGTCTGCCAGCTTCACAGACATGCACACTTGATCCTCCTGTGGGCAACAGGAGTGCCCACGGGACAGGAATTCTTGTTATCTCCATTTTGCAGACGGAGAAACTGACAACCTAATGTCACACAGTGAGTGGCAGAGATAGGACCCCTGTGGCTGGCTTAGTAGCTCCTGGGCATCCTCCTACCCTTTCAGGGGTCTCCGGGCATTTTCATGCAGTATGCTTACTGTCAAGGCTCTGCTTCTGCAGAGGGCCCATAGTGCAGAGGTGCGTGCTCTCTAAAATTAGATTGGCACACATCAGTCGCAGGGTGCCTACGATCTCATACAGGGCACGTCGCTTAGACAAGGATTTATGTTGACTAGCAGTTCATAAAGATGTGTAGTGGGGGTGGGACTCATGAGTGGCCTATCAGAATCACCTGGAGAAGGTTTCAAGTTCCTAAGTTCTGCTCACTCGGTAGGTCTGGGTGAGGCCCAAGTATGTGTCTTTTGGAAAAGCTCTCAGGCCACTGGGAAAGCATCCATCTCCGATATGCCCCCGCTTCCGAGTGAGAGCTGCTGCCTCAGATCAGTCCCTTCACTAAGCTTTGCCCACATAGGACTTTTCTGCATTGTGAAGAAAACCTTTGTTCTGTCAAGTTGGGACTTGGTGTTCTAGTGGTTTGACCCCAGATCCTTCAGGTGCTCTTGAAGCAGCTTTCGCTTTGTCAGCATGACAAAAGAATGAAGCTGTGTGCTGACTAGGTTTCAATGAATTTTACAGTTGGTTTGTCTTCGATTGCAGTTTCAAATAAGTCAGCAGTGTTGGTATAGGTTTTCTCACCGTCCTTTCCACGTGTGTCTTCGTTACTTTAGATAAGGTGGAGGGAATGTCCTTGAAAAGAAGGAGGGTGTCCTTTGGTGGTCATCTGAGACCTGAACTATTTGATGAAAACTTACCTCCTAATACGCCTCTCAAAAGAGGAGAAACACCGATGAAAAGGAGATCTCTTGCTACCCACACTCCAACTGTCCTGAAGAAAATCATCAAGGTAGGTTTAACAGCTAGTATTCTCCCGCATGTTTAATGATGCACGTCCTTGGTACTTATTCTTACCATAAGCCTCACACTAGTGGAATTGCAATTAAGACCTTTTCCTTTCTAATAAAAAAGCAGAATAAAATCGAAATGAGAGCTCATTCACTTGGGTGTTGGAAAACGAACACCTGGGTTCCTGAGCACATGCCGGGCACAGGTGAGTCCTCAGCACATGTCTTTTTCCTGCTGAGGCCTCCTGCCCACCCGGCTTACAGGGCCAGGTGATTGCTCCAGGGTTACAGTAAAAACCGCCAATTGAAAAGAATCTGGAGACATCATGACACATAACCATAAGGTTTTTTTTTCTTTTAGAATTGTAAGGTGAAAAGGAAAATCTTGGTTGGCAACACACCTATGATTTTCACCATCAGCTATTCAGAACTTTTAACTGGGGCTGGCCCCGTGGCCAAGTGGTTAAGTTCTCTCGCTCCACTTCGGCGGCCCAGGGTTTTGTCTCTTCGGATCCTGGGCATGGACATGGCACCGTTCCTCAGGCCATGCTGAGGTGGCATCCCACATGCCACAACTAGAAGGACCCACAACTAAAATATGCAACTATGTACTGGGGGGACATGGGGAGAAAAAGCAGAAACAAAGCCTCACAAGATTGGCAATAGTTGTTAGCTCAGGTGCCAATCTTTAAAAAAGAAGACTTTTAATCCCCTACGCTAGGTTGTGTTGTCCTGCTAATTTTAAATCCTAGAAAGGCCCCACAGCTCAGCTTCATCACAGGGCCTGGGTCATCTTTAATTTCTTTTCATACCAAAAGGAGTGTAAAGTAGGTCTGGTTCCCTTCCCATTGTACCCAGAAGTGCGATGCCCTCCTCCAGTGTAGACCAAAGGTGGCTAGACTCCCATGGATGGTATTCCCGTGGGTTCCAATCAGAGCACTTGCCTTGCATCAGGAGGTTCCTTCCATCTTTTCACCTGAAATACCTCACTTAAGACTTGTTTGCTGCCGTTTTTCCCTTAAATGAGGGGGGCAGACTCCCATCTCTGCTCGTGACAGAGAGTGGTTGAAACATTTGGGGCTTCAAGATTTAAAGAGCTAAAATGCTTAATTGGGGAGGGTTTTTGCATTCATTCAGAGATGTTATATTTGTGGTGAGGTTTCTTATGAACATTTAAATCTTGTCAGGAACAGTCTCAACCATCAAGAAAAGAAGATTCTCCTTCCAAAATCCATTTGGAAGTGACCACACAAAACGTGGTTAAGAGCTCTCCAGCTCAGAATCCTACCAAAACTTCTCCAGTTGCGAATGATCAGCGCCGTACGTCGTCCAAGGCGTCTTCTGTCTCCAGTGGCAGCAAATCTCCTTGTCAGACAGATACTCCTAAGAGAGGAGGGAGAAGGAGCAGCAGCTTACCTTCAAAGAGAATGTCCACCGATCGCAGCCAACATGAAATCTTACAGATGATTTATTCCAAAAGAAGGAGTGGTGCTTCTGAAGCCAATTTAATTGGTTTGTGTCGTATTAACAAAGATGTTTTGAGGTTAATTTTCTCCGTAATGCTAGTTTTGAAAAGTTTCAACACTTTTTTCCTTTTGACAGTGGCAAAATCGTGGGCAGACGTGGTAAAACTTGGCGCCAAACAAACACAAACTAAAGTCGTTAAACGTGGCCCTCAAAGGCAGCTGAACAAAAGACAGAAAAGGATAAATACTCCAAAGGTATGGGTTCCAATAGGAATTGCTCTTGACACATAATATTACTTAAGATTACATTAAGTGTGGATTTATGCTTTGACGTTTTGTTGATCTCCTGATTTTTTTTCCAGAAGCCTACTGGCAGCGTTCACAATCAATTTAGTACAGGCCATGCAAACTCTCCTTGCACCATAGTCATAGGGAAAGCTCACATCGAGAAAGTAAACGTGCCTGCTCGTCCCTACAGAATGCTGAACAACTTTGTCTTCAACAAAAAAATGGACTTTAATGAAGATCTTTCAGGTAAAAACTGTCAACTTAAAAAGCAAATTCGCTAGTTATTTTACCCTGAAAACAAATTTTTTGGGGGAATAGCCAAAAGAGTTACAAATCAGGATGTGGGTGCTATGGTGAACCACAGGCAAATCTGGAGAACAAAGGATGGGAGCTGCTTTTATAGGGAGAAAGGGGGAATAGGGAGGGGCTGTTCCAACCAAAAGTCCATTGTGTGTAGAGTAACAGTTCAGGGTGGCAACAGCTTCTCATTGGCTGAACTGCAGCATTTCTCATTGGCTGGGCTGTTGCTGGGTGGGGAGAGAAATCTTCCCCTGAGTATAGTAGTTGTACTTCCTGTTGGAGATGCAAGAGTCTGTCTCTTCCTGTCTGGAGTAATGTATGATGTATGATAGGGCTGAGAGCTCCCCCTACAGGCCTTCGTGACTCTAATTTAATTGAGGTTTCTTCTATTAATTTCCACAAAACACACTCTTGGCTCTATAAACCATAGTTGTTGATCCTCCTATGTGTGACTGTGTGGATGGCTGCTAGTTTTGTTTATCTTCTGTCAGTGGGACAGGAGAATAAACAATCCTGTCACCTTCCTGGGTCATGATGTTCAAGGAAGAGAAAGCAGGATTGGGGAACAAGGACAGTTCCCCTACATTTGGGGGTCCTGTGTCCTGCATGAAGCGGGTGTGAAAGGTAGGTCCACATCTTTACCTCAGAGAGCAGCATAGGTGGAGAAAACTGGAAGCTGCTTTATGGTGAGGAAAGCAAGCTTGCTCTTAAAATTGCCCTTTCCTGCATTTATGCTAATAGATGGCCCCAGACTCGGAGAAATTGGTTTGAGCAGTATTTTGCTTCTTCATGATTTCCTTTACTTCTATGTAGCTTAACTGTTTCTTGAAACAAAGTCTTGTGAAATGGTTTCCTGTAACCATCAATAGTTGAGCCAAAGTTGTCATTCTCAGTAAAAGTGTGATGTGACTTGCTTATGGTTGTGCCAGATTAGACTGTGGCAAGAACCCAGGTTTGGATTTTATGTGACATAGTTTGACCAGTGGTTTCCACTTTGAACTCTTTGAAGGGAGGTGAGTCTTGAATCCATTAGGTGGAATCTTGTTTTATTTCCTGGCAGATTTTAAGATGGAAGAATTGTTGTACTCCTCTGTATAACCCATATAAGGTATGCTCTGATTAGAGTCACATTTGAATCAATACATTTAGCTTTCTAAAAAAACAACCACAAAAATGTAGAACAGTGGTAGCCAGAATTTTGATAACATGCTCCATGAATAAAAACATTTTGAGCATATACCACTCAATATGCAGATATATGTATACTGTATATTCTTGTAAATTATGTGCATGTCTGAGTGGGCTAGTATATATGTTATGAAGCATGAAAACAAATCCTCAAAGGTATTTTTAAGATGAAATAAATAGAAGTTTAAATACTCAGTCCCCAGGACAGTGGTGTTTCTCAGCCTTCCTTTGAGACCCTTTCCTAGAGAGTCAGCAGTGTCCACCCCTTGCTGTGAGTGACTTTCATGACAAAACATCAGTGTGTGCTGAAGACTAAGTCCCGGATATTTTAAGGAAGGCCTCAGCGGCGGCAGAGGGATGAGATTTGTAAGTGAGTTGGCTGGTTTGGCAGCCTTAGGGACAGGCATCCCAGATGCCTTGTGCAGGCGGGTGGCAGACTGAAGAGAGCATTTTGATCCACTGATGGCAGAGTGAGAAAAGTAAGGAGAACGTGGGATAATGTAAGTTTTTCAGAAAGTTAAATCTTCCATTTAAAGTACTATGTGGTTCTTTCTTTTCTGAGATTATGTTAATACTGCTTTTTGGTGTTAAATGAGAAGATGGTCATATTACCTGACACCACAAAAAATGGGCAGCCCTGTGTCATTTTTAAAATTGGAGGACATTTTATTTCTACTTAAGATGCAGAACTGCATAAGTGAGGACTTTCTGAAGGCAGCGTGAGGGCAGTCGGTTTGCTGGATGCCTGGAGGGGAGGCCCTGAGGGCTGCCCCTGTCCTCCGGCGAGTGCTCATGACTGGGGACGGGGACGACTTTGGAAGACTGCAGACACCAACTTCCTTCATTTGATTTTCTTTCCAAGAGGAAAGGTGGAGAAGAGGAGAGATGAATCTAACTTCCCATTGCCCTCTTTTAACAAAACGAGTTCATTACGGATGCATCATCCTCTTCTATGAGATCCTGTCTTCCACGAGGTCTAGAGAGTGACCTGTTGTCCACGTGCCACCATTTCCTTTGTTTTCTGAGGACTGGCGTGGTTGTTTGCATGTATGAGCAATATGTTAACTGCTTTTCCAATATCTTCATTTAACAGGGCTCACTGAAATGTTCAAGACTCCAGCAAAAGAGAGGCCACAAAGGAGGAGTGTATGTCCCATCACCTTTTCGAATTCAGAGGATTTGCTTGGAAAAAAGTTTCAAGTACCCAATTCAGAAGAAAATCCTTTGCTATGTGCTTCAGAAAATTTTGGTTGGTTTACTGTTTTTTCCTAGCGCTTTGATGTTTTCAACAGGAACTATAGATGCTATTATTTTCTTTACAACAGATATTGTGTTATTTCCTTACAACAGACACTCCTGATAACATACCTTTTCCAGCTTCTCTGTTTTGTGGTTTTAGGGGAAATTCCTGTCAGCAGTTGAACTAGCATTGGCATTCAGTGACTTCCTTAAAAAGGAATACTCGTTTGATAACCATGAACTCCCTATATACATTTGCCTCATTTGTTTACTATCAGCAAAGAGGTTGATAAGCAGAAAACTATAATGATTTCTCATCATACTTATATGTAAATTACTCAAACTCAAAATTATTGTAAATTACCAAAGAGAAAGATAGCAGTGTGTACACTGTGCAAGTATTGCCCCTGATCTTCTGGATGGGAGCGTGCCCTAGTTCAAGTGGGAAATGGGACATGTGAGTCTGTCTTGCTCTCTCGTTTGGTACTGGTTGCTGAGTTCCTGTCATAGGGGGAACAGTTTGCCACACTGAAAGTGTTTTCTGTGGCTAACGGGTGGATGTTTCCCGTGTAACATGGACCGTCAGCATCCTAAGTATAGACCATGTAATTGCATTGGTGGTTCAACAGAAAAAACAGCTTGTTTGTTTCTCATGTTTCAAGAAAAAAAATTGCTGTGTTCAGGTCACTGAGACATGGCATGACAGCCTTCAGGAGACCCTTCTTGAGGAATTTTATGTTTTATCTAATCTCTGTAGAGCCTAACCACCACCTCTGTATGACCCCTCTATATATCACCAAATACGTTATTCTTTAGTGTACGCGGCTCATACATAAGACAGGTTTATGGCCACATCAGCAGTGTCATCTCCTTAGTCGGATGGATAGGAGGCTGAATTATTGGCTCTTACACAATATTTCGTGACAATAAAATACCAAGTTGGCATAAAACAGTGAACAGATTATATTTATCGTGTATGTTTTTATTTCTTATAGGAGAGAGTATGTTCCCCAGTACTCAGAATGCACCAAAAGAGCTGTCGGATAAAATTTCTGCAAGCCCTGCCTCCTCCAAACAACAGAATATGAAAGTAAATGAAGATATGGAGAAAACTCCCAGGAACATGCATAAAATGACAGGTGCTGAGATGAAGACTCCAGTATCTGAGGCAGAGCCTATGCAGGCAGTAGCAAGCGCAAACACATCTAGGAGGTCTGTGGGGCTCAGAAATAGACTGACACCAGGCACAGAGGGTAAGAACCAAGAAATGGAAACTGGCACCACGGGGAACATCTTGGGACGACGTCTGCGGAAAACACCACTACAAGAACAGAAGCTAGAGGGAGAGATGCAGGAGAGTGAGAGATCTTTTGAGATGTGTAAGAAAATCATTGAGTCAAAAGAGAACTCTGAAAAGATGGTAGCTGTGAGGAGATCAAGAAGGTCTTCAGAGCTGAAATGGGAACCAACAGCAGACCTGGCTGCCCTCAAGAAATTGCACGAGAGAGAACCGAAGGATGACCTGCTGGACATCCACAGTGTCCTCCAAACCCCAGACCAGGCTGTGAAACCGGTGGATGTGGAGCACGTAACCACAAAGATGCGCCGCAAATCTCCTAAACCAGAACCAGCCAACACGCCAACAAGGACAAATATACGGCTCCAGACACCGCCCCACAAAGTGGATGGAGAAGGCCTCTCAGCACTCAGCAAGGCCACACAGACTCCAGGGGAAATTACACACACACACAGAGAACCAGTAGATGATGAAAAGAGCATCAAATTGTTTAAGGAAACTGCAAAGCAGGAAGTGGATCCTGCAGCAAATGTAACTGGGAGCAAGAGGCGGCCAAGAACACCTAAGGGAAAGACTCCACCCCTAGAAGACCTGGCTGGCTTCAGAGAGCTCTTCCAAACGCCAGTTCACATCAAGGAACCAATGACTGATGACAAAACCACTAAAATACTCTACCAATCTCCACAACCAGAACCAGTCATCGTATCAACCAGGATGAGCAGACGACTCAAGACACCTCTGCGGAAAGTGGACGTAGAGGAAGAGCTCTCAGCACTCAGGAAGCCCACACAAACACCAGGAGAAAGCTCGCTCTCACACAAAGAACCAGTAGGTGCAGTGTCTGAGGAAGCTCCAGAACAGAAACTGGACCCTGCAGAAAATGTAACTGGGAGCAAGAGGCGAACAGGAACACCCAAGAAAAAGATCTGTTCCCTGGAAGACCTGCTTGGCTTCACAGAGCTCTTCCAAACCCCAGATCACACCAAGGAACCAGTGACTGATGACCAAACCACTAAAATATCCTGCAAATCTCCACAAGCAGAACCAGTTGACACACCAACAAGCAGAAAGAGAAGCCTCAAGACACCTCCCCAGAGAGCAGACACAGAGAAAGAGCTCTCAGCACTCAGGAAGCCCATGCAAACACCAGGAGAAACTGTGCACACACACGGAGGACCAGTAGATGAAGATAAAGACATCAAATTGTTAAAGGAAACTCCAAAGCTGAGACTAGACTCAGAAAAAAATGAAACTGGAAGCAAAAGGCTGCCAAGAAAACCTAAAGAAAAGGCCCAACCCTTAGAAGACCTGGATGGCCTCAAAATGCTCTTCCAAACACCAGATCACACCAAGGAACCAGTGACTGAGGAGAAAACCACCAGAATACCCTGCAAATCCCCACAAGCAGAACCAGTCAACATGCCAACAAGCAGAAGGAGACAGCCTAGGGCACCTCCCCAGAAGGTGGAAGAGCAGGAACATCTGTCAGCAGGCAAGATGCCCACACAAGCCCTGGGGGAGACAACGTGTTCACACGGAGAACCAGTAGATGATGGCAAAGACATCAGAGCGTTTAAGGAAACTGCAGAGCAGGAACTGGATCCTGCAGCAAATGTAACTGGAAGCAAGGGGCGGCCAAGAACACCTAAGGGAAAGACTCCACCCCTAGAAGACCTGGCTGGCTTCAGAGAGCTCTTCCAAACGCCAGTTCACATCAAGGAACCAATGACTGATGACAAAACCACTAAAATGCTCTACCAATCTCCACAACCAGAACCAGTCATCGTATCAACCAGCATGAGCAGACGACTCAAGACACCTCTGCGGAAAGTGGACGTAGAGGAAGAGCTCTCAGCACTCAGGAAGCCCACACAAACACCAGGAGAAAGCTCGCTCTCACACAAAGAACCAGTGGGTGATGACAAAGGCATTGCTGTGTCTGAGGAAGCTCCAGAACAGAAACTGGACCCTGCAGAAAATGTAACTGGGAGCAAGAGGCAAACAAGAACACCCAGGAAGGACACCCAGCATTCCCTGGAAGACCTGCTTGGCTTCACAGAGCTCTTCCAAACCCCAGATCACGCCAAGGAACCAATGACTGATGACCAAACCACTAAAATATCCTGCAAATCTCCACAAGCAGAACCAGTTGACACACCAACAAGCAGAAGGAGAAGCCTCAAGACACCGTCCCAGAAAGTGGACACAGAGAAAGAGCTCTCAGCACTCAGGAAGCCCATGCAAACACCAGGAGAAACTGTGCACACGCACAGAGGACCAGTAGATGATGACAAAGACATCAGATTGTTAAAGGAAACTCCAAAGCTGAGACTAGACTCAGAAGAAAATGTGACTGGAGGCAAAAGGTTGCCAAGAAAACCTAAAGAAAAGGCCCAACCCCTAGAAGACCTGGATGGCCTCAAAATGCTCTTCCAAACACCAGATCACACCAAGGAACCAGTGACTGAGAAGAAAACCACCAGAACACCCTGCAAATCCCCACAAGCAGAACCAGTCAACACACCAACAAGCGGAAGGAGAAAGCTTAGGCCACCTCCCCAGAAGGTGGAAGAGCAGGAACATCTGTCAGCAGGCAAGATGCCCACACAAGCCCTGGGGGAGACAACGTGTTCACACGGAGAACCAGTAGATGATGGCAAAGACATCAGAGCGTTTAAGGAAACTGCAGAGCAGGAACTGGATCCTGCAGCAAATGTAACTGGAAGCAAGAGGCGGCCAAGAACACCTAAGGGAAAGACTCCACCCCTAGAAGACCTGGCTGGCTTCAGAGAGCTCTTCCAAACGCCAGTTCACGCCAAGGAACAAATGACTGATGACAAAACCACTAAAATACTCTACCAATCTCCACAACCAGAACTAATCATCGTATCAACCAGGATGAGCAGACGACTCAAGACACCTCTGCGGAAAGTGGACGTAGAGGAAGAGCTCTCAGCACTCAGGAAGCCCACACAAACACCAGGAGAAAGCTCGCTCTCACACAAAGAACCAGTGGGTGATGACAAAGGCATTGCTGTGTCTGAGGAAGCTCCAGAACAGAAACTGGACCCTGCAGAAAATGTAACTGGGAGCAAGAGGCAAACAAGAACACCCAGGAAGGACACCCAGCATTCCCTGGAAGACCTGCTTGGCTTCACAGAGCTCTTCCAAACCCCAGATCACGCCAAGGAACCAATGACTGATGACCAAACCACTAAAATATCCCGCAAATCTCCACAAGCAGAACCAGTTGACACACCAACAAGCAGAAGGAGAAGCCTCAAGACACCGTCCCAGAAAGTGGACACAGAGAAAGAGCTCTCAGCACTCAGGAAGCCCATGCAAACACCAGGAGAAACTGTGCACACACACAGAGGACCAGTAGATGATGACAAAGACATCAGATTGTTTAAGGAAACTCCAAAGCTGAGACTAGACTCAGAAGAAAATGTGACTGGAGGCAAAAGGTTGCCAAGAAAACCTAAAGAAAAGGCCCAACCCCTAGAAGACCTGGATGGCCTCAAAATGCTCTTCCAAACACCAGATCACACCAAGGAACCAGTGACTGAGGAGAAAACTACCAGAATACCCTGCAAATCCCCACAAGCAGAACCAGTCAACATACCAACAAGCAGAAAGAGACAGCCTAGGGCACCTCCCCAGAAGGTGAATGAGAAGGAAGATAGATCAGCACGTAGGAAGCCCACACAAACCCTGGGGAGAACGACGCGATCACGCAGAGAACCAGTCAGTGGTGATAAAGACAGCAAAGTGTTTGAGGAGACTGCAAGGCAGGAACAGGGCCCTCCAGCAAGTGTAACTGGAAGCAAGAGGCAGCCAAGAAGAGCTAAGGAAAAGGCCCAGCCACTCGAAGACCTGGATGGCCTCACAGATGTCATCCAAACACCTGATCACACAGAACATGAGATCAAAATGACTGAGGACAAAACCACAAAAATGCCCTGCAAATCTCTGCAAGTGGAGCCAGTCATGGTGCCAACAGGTAGAAAGAGACGGCTCAGGGCACCTGCCCAGAAAGTGGATGTAGAGGATGAGCTCTCAGCACGCAGGAAGCCCACACAAACGCCAGGGGAAATCACACACACATACGGACAGCCAGCAGGTGATGATAAAGACATCAAAGTCTTTAAGGAAACTCCACGGCAGGAATTGGACCCTGAAGAAAATGTAACTAGAAGCAAGAAGCAGCCAAGAATCCCTAAGAAAAAGGCCCAGCCCCTCGAAGACCTGAATGGCCTCGAAGAGCTCATACAAATGCCAGATCACACAGACGAACCAATGACTGAGGACAAAACCACAAAAATGCTCGGCAAATCTCCCCAAGTGGAACTAGTCATGGCGCCACCAAGCAAGAAGAGAAGGCTCAGGGTACCTCCCCAAAATGTGGATGAGCAGGAAGTTCCATCAGCAGGCAGGAAACCCACACAAACCCTGGGGAGAACGACACGCTCACGCAGGGGACCAGTCGATGGTGATAAAGACATCAAAGTGTTTGAGGAAACTGCAAGGCGGGAATTGGACCCTACAGCTAGTGTAACTGGAAACAAGAGGCAGCTAAGAATCCCTAAGGAAAAGGCCCAGCCACTCGAAGACCTGGCCAGGTATAAAGAGGTCCTCCAAATGCCAGCTCATGCCAAGAAACTGGGAACTGATGCTGAGACCATTAAGGTAACGCCAACGCAAACGCCAGACAGAAGAGAACCTGTGAAAATGTCCAGGAGAGTCCTTAGGGCCCGTAAGACAAAACCCATGGACGATCTGGTGGGCACCAGGGAGCCTGTGCAATCACAAAGGGGAAGCAGAGTTTCCCCGTCCCCCAAGAGGAAAGGTGGGAAACATGGAAGTGTCACAGGAAGGAAGAGGCTGCGCTCCGTGACGACTCCGCCGGAAATGGCAGAAGAGAAGCCACTCCAGAAGAAACAGAGGACAGCTCCCGGAGAGACACTCACACCCTCTGAACCCTCCATAGCAGAGAAGAGAATTCTGAGGATTTTGGCAAAGAGGATTGAACCTGTGGAAGAGCTGCCCAGCAACACGAAAACTGAAAAAAAGGGCCAAAGAGTGGAAGATGCGACTGCTCCAAATAAGGTGATGGTAGATGTTACATAATCATTATATGTCATCTTGGAGGGATGGTCTCCTTTTTGGTGTAATATTTGGTACAAATTGTGTATAAACAATTTATATGTGGATTACATTTCCCAAAGGAGTCTGCATGCAACACAGGGAGTAACTGCAGACCATGGGAAAGGGTCCTTTTAGGATTTACAGAGACAATTGGCTAATTTGGGAAAATAGCTAGTCACAATTGTTATTACAAAGTTTGGCAAGAGTTTCTCAGGAACTGAACGAGTTAGGTTCATCTTCGAAGGTGTGAGGCATCGTGCAGAGAAGGGGGCAGCTTGGTCCTGCGTTCCAGACACTATAGCCAGGAGTGCTGGGTAGAAGCTCTAGATGCTTCAGTATTTAAACAGAATGGTGTACATGGGAGGGTGTGTTCTGAGAGCAACAGAACTGTCAGATTGTTGGATAGAGAGATTACTACTGCGTGGAGAGAAGTTTCTAAAATTCCAGAAACCAAGATTTTCCTGTCTGCTTTAGCAATGACTGTTAAAAGACTGGGAATTCATTTCCTGCCTGAATAAAGGGGCATTTTTCTATAATGCCCCTTTCATGCTTGTTATGATCAGATTTGACATTTATGACATTCAGACACTGATTGAAACTTACGCTGAATTCCTTATTTATGGTTTATCAGTAGAGATGATTTCTCCATAGGAACAAAGTGACAAGGCCTTACCTTGAATATCTTAGATTACTGGCATCATAGAAAATTATTCAATGTAAAATTTTCAAATGAATCCCCCTTTGAGTTCACTTTTGATCGTTTTTCTCTGTGTTGAATTTTGAGATTTGTACGACTCATTGACATGTTGTGGATGTCTTTTGGATTGTTTAGGGAATGTCCCTGCGCTCCAGACGCCCAAATAAAACCACTGTAGAAGAGCAAAGAACTGAGTTTCTCATATCAGCAGAAAAGATTAAAATAAAGAGGAATGAAAAGAAGCCCATGAATACCTCCCAAGAGATGAAGCTACAAAACCCAGAAGATGGAGCCAAGAATTCTACATCTGGGGGCCAAGTCCATGAGAGTAGAATGGGTTTGAGATCTGGAAGACAGAATAAGATGCCCTTACCCAATGTAGCAGAGGAGAAAGTCAGGAAGAAAAGGGTGGAAATCCACGTGGAGAGTCAGAAGGAGAAAGAAGCAACAGGACATTCGGACTCCAAGAGTTTGAGATCGAGAAAGATTACAATCCCTCCTAAAGGAAACACTCTAGAGGGTGAATCGGAACAGAGAGTGACTCGGAGGGCCAACAGACGTGCCGAAACCACGAAAACGGCAAGTAAATTACTGTTTTTCTTTCTTTAGGAGCATAGAATGTTCTGATAAAATTTTGCCTCACGTTGCAAAAGCAAACAAAACATTATATGTGATAACACGCTGCCAGCTCCCAGTTATACTCACGTACGAAGTGTGACTCTAAACCAGATATTTTGTCTTTGTAGCTATATTTAGTTGTATCTGTCTTGGGAATCTCACTTCAAACAGTAAATTCACAGTATGAAGACATCATTCAGGAAGAACAAGGAATTTATCCAGTCAGCACTTTCTGACTGCTCATGCCGTAGCCCATACTGAAATTATAGGTAGATGTCCTCAGTCCCTCGTTAGCTCAACAAAACTTACTAATGCGAGTGAGGTGGTCCTGTCTGGATTTCAGAGGAGTTCCTTTGGAAATCTAGAATGAAGAGAAGTTGGAGGGGTAGTAAATAGCACCACAGTTATGGGCTGCATAACGACGTTTCAGTCAGCGATGGACCACATAGACCACGGCGGTCCTATAGGATTAGTACCATACGGCCTGGGTGTGCAGTAGGCTGTACCATCTGGGTTTGTGTAGGTACACTCTGGTGCTCGCACAATAGTGAAATCGCCTAACGACGCATTTCCCAGAACATGTCCCCTTCGTTAAGCAACGCAGGACTGTATTAAAGGTTCGTATTCAGTAGGAAGTGCTTGTGTCCTTTGGCCCTTCCCAAAACAAATAACATCTAAGTTTAAGGACTGTCAGTGCTACGAACGTCATGTCAACTTCAGCAGCACCATTTGAATGAATCTACGGTGCAGGATTGAATTCACTCTGTGTTCTGGGCAATATGTGATTTTGCTAGTTTGAAGGAAAGAGTGGTTGAACAGTCTCCTTTTTGTGAGTGGTGTAAATTTGCTTCTGAGTGTGCAGTGAGAGCCCGTGAACGCCAGTGCTGTGGGCCATTGCTCTAACACACGTGTGTGAATTTACTGCTTGACAAACAGTTGTCTGATGTGGTGTCAGCTGCAAAAGCAGAAGAGATTTGTTTACTGCTTGCTAGAATGATGGTGGGGACACTGGCCTAGGTCCACATCCAGGACCTCAGTGCGTGTCCTGCCACCCTTAGAATCATGAAGGAGCAGCTACAGGGCAGGCCGAGTACATCCTGGGGTCAGCACAGATGGAGCGTGCCCCACGCAGCCCTTCATGAGCTTGTGTTTACCATTCATTCTGTTGTCTGTAATGTGGATGCCACACGTTGCTAGCTCCTGATAGAGCATACGTCTCCAGTTTGGCCTTTTCCTGATATCTCAGTCATTTGATGAACATTTGCGTTGCACTGTAATAAGGCGATAGCTTGGGTCCGAATTCAAGTATTTCAGGTCATTTGCATTCACACTCAGCCTTAGACTTTTTAATTCTTGGCTTTTGTTCTCCTGACTCTTCCCGCCCCCCAGTCTTAAAGATCACTGGATAAGGTCACTGGTGGGGACTGCTCCTAAAGTATGCTCAACAGACATCACCATTAGCTTTTTCCCATGGGCTGTTGGGTTGGGGGACCGTGTGTAGTAGAAGCACAAACACCTGGCCTCTCACCTGTAAGCACAGCGCAGACACCCAAGGCTCCAGGGCACCGGTTCTGAAGACGCAGAACATCTGCTTCCTTTTAGATTTTCTCGAAGTGTCTGGATGGGTGTGCCTCTTCCCAGCTCCCGTTGGAGTGCGCAAAGCAGGTGGTCCTAGGTCACACTCAGGGAGTATTGAGCGATTGTCCGCTTCATACACATAGATTGTTTGGAAGACCCTGAAGATTTCGCCCTGATTGTACATTTGAATTCACTTTTTCTGAGTGGTAGTTTTATTTTATTTTTATTTATTTATTTATTTTTCTGCCTTATCTCCCCAAATCCTCCTGGTACATAGTTGTATATCCTAGCTGCACATCCTTCTAGTTGTGGCATGTGGGACACCGCCTCAACATGGCCTGACGAGCAGTGCCATGTCCGCGCCCAGGATCCAAAGCGGCGAAACCCTGGACCGCCGCAGCAGATCACACGGACTTAACCACTCGGCCATGGGGCCAGCCCCTGAGTGGTATTTTTTAATTAGTGAAAATGCATGTAATAGTGTGGCAATTTTCTTTCTTTTTTTAAACTATGTATTAACTTAAAAATAGGTGATAAGTCTTTCTATCAAAAGACAAAATATATAAGATAAAAAAGCCAAATAGTAAAAATGGCTTAGGGGGCCAGCCCCATGGCCGAGTGGTTAAGTTCACAAGCTCTGCTTTGGCAGCCTGGGGTTTTGCTGGTTTGGATCCTGGGTGCAGACACGGCACCGCTCATCAGGCCATGCTGAGGCGGCGTCCCACATGCCACAACTAGAAGGACCCACAACTAAAATATAGAACTATGTACTGGAGGGCTTTGGGGAGATGAAGGAAAAATAAAATCTTCACCCAAAAAAATGGCTTAAAGAACAAAAGCAACTTTCCCAAGCTATGTCTTATTAAACCCATTTCCAACCTCAAGATGAATTTTCCAGAACTTAAGACCTGCGTCACACCTAGTAAGAACTGGGTTTTTGCACAGGAGAGTTGGTTACAAAAATTTCTTTTAAATGACTTAAGAGTTATATTTTTGTTTCCAAACAGGATAACGACAATGTGTGCATCAAGAAAATAAGGACCAGAAGTCGTCGGGACAATGAAGATGTTTAGCTAAGAAGTTTAAAAGGGGGAAAAAAGTAATACATTTAATTTAGTGATAAGTTCTAGTATAATATTTGCTGTAAATTTAAAAGTGAATTCTGTAAATAGTGCTATCTGGTTGTTTAAGAGAAGAAAGCTTAGAAATTTCTAGGTCTGAATTGTCTATTCAAAAACCCCACATGGAGATTATGAAGGGGACAACTGGGTCTCATAAAATGACAAAAATTTAAAACTTGGGGGTGGGAAGTAGGAGTTTGGGCCAAAGGATGCCCTTTAACTCTGCAAGTGAAGCCGGGAAGTTTATCCCCCAAGTCGATCCCCAATAACTGTGGGCTCTAGCACTTGCTTTGTACATGCTTCTGTGTTTGTCTGTGTCCTCCATCAGAATGTAAACGGCAGAGGCTTCTATCCTTGTTGTATCCCCCACACCAGGCAGGCACTCAGGAAACGTTCATGAGTGGATGGATGAGTAGATTAATGAAACTTACAAGATCTGTCTTTACAATGGCGGAGACATTTGGTTCATACACTAGGGCTATTTATCATCAGCAGGACAGTCCGATCTTGGTGTCTTTATCCCTTAAGGGAATGAAATTGTAGATTGGAGGATGGTTTGTGAGCCCATCTTCAGCATAAAGGTGTTACTTTATTTAAGGAATGTCTGGTGGCTTGCCTTTTTCACTTTAAAAATATTTGTCTAAACTGGACTGCTTTTGTCTGAGAAGCCATCCACTCACTAGCTCTTAGGGCCATGGGCCAGAGTGCCCCTCCCTTCCAAACTGTGACACCCCTCTTAGCTTCTCTGCTTTGGCATCATTTACATCTTCTGAGCTTTCTACTGGATCTGCTCCCACCTGTGCTTTTTCTCACCACACCTGTTGACCTGACTTAGTGCCCAGCATGCCACCTCGTACAGGAAGCCATACATACTCTCCCCCTAAAGCACAGCCGTTTCTGACAGCGGCAGAGCACGAGGCTTCTTCACCCACGGTTTCCAAATTGCTTACTTGCAAGCAGTTGCCTCCTACATCTCATTTTAAGCCCAGGCTTCTTTCTTCAGTTTCAGACCCATACATCAAACTGCTGGGCATCTCCATTTTTATATTCCACTTGTCCTCCTGTTCTTCTTGCTCTGCTCCCTAAATCAGAAGAGAGCACACCTTCTCTCCAGTCACCTGTCCGGAGGCCTCCCCATTCACCTGCTTTCCAGTTTGAGCTGAGGATGGAAAACAAGAGAGGGGGCTGTCCCCTAGACTATGAACTGCAATGCCCAGGCCCTGTCTGTCCACTCTTATATCCCCAAAGTCTGGTGTGGAGCCAGGTGTACACAGTAATAAATATTTGCTGAATAAACATGAATCTCTGCGTGTCCGTCTGCATCAATGGTAGTTGCTTTTGCTATTTCGGCTGCCGTAATAGAGTGCTGGACAGGGTTGTCTAAGATCGTGAGGAAGAATGACAGATTGAGGGAGGGCTGTAGGATGGAGGAGCCTCCCGACCCAAGTGACAGTCGAGCCGGGCCATAAAGAGTGGGAGCGTGGCAGAGCAGAAGAAATGAGAGGATTTTAGAAAGTGAGGCCCTCATTAGAAAAGGCACTTTATTTGAAGGTGTGAGTCACAAATGTGTCATTTAGATAGGTGAAATTCAAGAAAATGTAAACTAATAGGATTTTTCTCTGATTAAGTTGTTCTGCCAACACTCCAGATTTAGTAGTAATTATGAACCTCAAATAGAGAAAAATTTCAATTAGCCGTATGCCTGGGGAATGAAATATACTGATTAATTAAAAAACCCTTTAGGGTTCAGTTCTAACCAAATATCTTGCTGAAACGTATCAGCGTATTTTCTCACCTTAGGAAGTACCATGTTTCAAGAGCGCAGGGTGGTTCTCCTTCACTAGGGCTGTAGGTGCTACATTAGAAAAGCTCATTCAAGCAAGTCTTTAAAAAGCTCGTGTCCACGGCATGCCTCTTTCATTTAGTATTTTTGTGACGGAGGGAAGCTTCAGACAGAAATATGAACCATTCAACTAGGCTAACTATTTGAGAGCAGGGTGCAAGAAATAAATACTCACCTACTGGCTGTGTGGTTTGGTAACTTCTCTGAGCTTCAGATTCCAAGTAACATCCCTCTGATGGAAAATTCTCAATAAACAGAAGCTAGTTTTACTTTTAGCCTCCAGGCCTTTGCATGACCTGGCTGCCAATCTGTCCTTGAATTTCTTTGCTGTAATTCCGTACCAGCCAACCCTTGCCTTCTTTAGGGAGGACATTCCCCCCCACACGCACATATACAAACACACTCATGCACACACACATACTCATGCACACATACACATTCATATACATACATGCATACACATACTCTTCTGCACACATATTCATACGCACACACACAAGCACACACACATACCCCCTGCTCTCTGCCTGGGAATTTCCCCACCTCTTGCTTCACTAGATGCTTCCCTCCAGGCCTGAGCTCAACTCCAGCGAGGCTCCCTCAAGGAAGCCTAGGTCACCCCCATTCCTGTCTCCCTGGCTGGGTTGGGTCCCCCGTTTCATGCTCTGGAGTCATCCTGTGCTTCTTTGCTGAATGTACTGCAGTGGAAACTAGACCACTGATTGTGTGTCTGCCTCCTCTGCTAGAACCAGGCTTTGTCCAAACGTGAGGGCAGACCATGTATTTACCGGTCACCGTATTCCAGCGAGCAGGTGCAGGAGGTACCCAACCAGGTGTGTGTGAGATGAAGTGATCTTAAAACTCACCATGTTTGTATTAGCGGGAGGGTAGCAGAGAAGAAAACAAACTAAGAGTGGGCAGCGGCAGTCAGGCAGAGGCGGAGGGGCTGGTTCATTGGCCTCCATTTTGACAACTGACGTGGCTGGACAGTTACTTCCTCTCCTGGCCAGTAAGCCGTCACAGTCATGTTGGTCCCTCAGAACGGCCCTCATATTTGGAAAAGGGGACTCCCCAAACCCTGGGTCATGTCCACTTTATCTAGACAGAAGTGATGGGTCCAGGGACAGAGATTTGACCCAGCGCCACCAGATTTAGCAGATGAAAACATGTGTTGCTTCTTTCATCTGGTTGCCCTAACGTGACGGAGATCCTGGGAGAGAACTCACAGGCGAGTCCCAGGCCGGAGCCCGTGGTGTGTCTGTTTGTCCTGAGGAAGAAGTTTTCCCTCAGGCAGAGAAAGGTTTTGGGGTGGTGCATGTTGAGTTCACCACCTGGCGGGACTGAGGGTGGAAGGAAGGAAGGAAGGCCACCCTCAGTCCTAAACAGTCAAGACAGAGAAGTTTAGGCCTCGACTGACAGGCACGCTCGGTTGTGGTGTTCCAGGTTGTAATGGAGAGACAACATTGCCAGCGTCTGCTCCGTAAAGTAAACTAGCTACTTCATTCAAAACAATTAGACACTATGGCTGGGACCCTACCATATGCTAGGCTTTCTAGAAAATTTCTTCCCAGACATGGATCTGGTACTCCAGCCACAGCTCGAAGGACCCTGATTCAGGTGCCGTGCAGACCGCCCAGGCCCCTGAGGCGTCTCCAGGCCTTGGTCACGTCTCCTTTTCCTGGTGCCTCCAGCACTGAGTGCCACGCTGGCACCTGAGCATTCAGTAGTCTGCAAATTGGGATTTCATCAATCTTGCTCTTCACGAGGGAGCAAGAAGCGCCCTTGATCACATGAAGCCTCTCCTGGTGTCTACATGATGATTTCAAAGGAACGAAGGTTTGGTATTGCCATGCGCCGCAGAGTGCTCAGCTGTCAGGGCGTGGCAGCCTGTGCTCATAGAGCCATCTACAGACGGGCAAGTCCCAAAGCTCCCTGGACAAGGGACATTAAATAGCCATCAACAACAGTCTTTTATGAAGAACTGATGGGAAATATTTTTAATATGAATACAAAGGATTGTACCTGTGACTTAAAAAGAATTACAATAAACTAATGAGGAAAAATCAGGTAACACAACTAGGAAAGTGGATAAAAAGCATGAATTTGTGCTTCACAGATGAAATACAAATAATAAACATGTGCAGAGATGCTCAACCCACCAGAAGTTAAGGAAATGCAAATTGAAATGAGTCATGATTTTTTTGCCTATCAGTTTTGTAAAAACTAAAAGGCTTGCCAATACCCAGGGTTAGTGGTGTGTGGGGAAGCAGGTGCTGTCTGCACTGTCGGTGGGCAAATGAGTTAGTTGGGAGATCCTTTGAACGGCAACTTGGCAGCTCCTACCTAAATTTAAAATGAGTCTGCCCTTTGACCCAGAAACTCCACTTCTAGGCAGCTCTCCCATAGAAATGCTTTGCACATGGGAACAAATACACACATGCGCAAGTGTATTCATCACAAAGATGCAGTAGAACCTTGCACGCCAATGGAAATAAGCTGATGTCCATCATGGAGGAATGCCCATCAGAGTTTGTTAGGTTTATACCCGGGAATACCAAGGAGGCTTTAAACAGAAAGGAAGCTGCATGTGTGCTGACAGGGCCAGATTCTAAGGCGGAATGTTGAACAAAAGGGCAATTCGCACAACTGCCCATAGGTGGCATATTTCATCACTTCTAAGACACAAAGTTTTCACATGTTAACCTCTCTCACATCAGGATGCATCTCAAAATTGATGGCGTCCTACCAGGGATAATTGGCAGTGTGTTTGCTTTCTCAGCAGAACATAAAGTGGACTTGACCATTTTGTCATGCTAGATTTGAAGATATTCTGGCAGTTTGACCCTGACGTTCTTAAAAACAAACAAGCAAATGAATTATTCACGTGTTTATATAACCACACAAGTTTAAACCTGCAGAAGCTGTCTGGAAGGACGTACCCCAGAGTAATCAATGCACTGAGATGAGGGAAGAGTCAGGTGACGGGCCAAGGTCATATATACTCTTACATTTCTGTTTGGTTTGAACTTTGACGACAAACCTGGCTCCCTGGGTATTGTTGGGGTACCACCACCCTTCGTGACCAGGGGCTGGCAGCCCCGGAGACAACGTCCATCCTGGGGACCAGGAGTGGTGGGTCAACACTCCAGCGTCCTGCCCTTCAGGTAGATTCGGGGATGCCCTCGGGTGTCACGACAGAGTGGAGTCCCCGAGGATGGTCTCTGTACTGCCCCTCTGGGTGGCTCTTCCTTCCTCCTGCCTCATCTCTCTGCTCCCTCAACTCCTGCCTCCTGAGATCGCCTCCCAATTAAACCACAGGCACCGTGTCCTTTGTCAGAGTTTTCTTTTGGATAAACTCAAACTAAGACAGACACCTCTGGCGTAGGGGGCAGGTTGCCAGGGATGCCCTACCAAAGTGCCACAAACTGGGTGGCTCAAACAACAGGATCTTATTGTTTCACAGTTTCAGAGGGCCGAAGTCCCCGTCAGGGTGTGGGCAGGGTTGCTTCCTCCTGCGAGCTGTAGAAGAGAAGCTGCTCTGAGCCTCTCTCCTAGTCCCCTGCAGCCTCGGGAGTTCTTGATTGGCAGAAGCATCACTCCAACGTCTGCCTTCTTTTCCCATGGTGACCTCTTTGTCGTGCACATGTCTGTGTCCAAATTCCCTCTTAGAAAGACACAGTCCTATTGCGGTAGAGTGGGTCCACCCTCACGGCCCACCGGAATCCAGCATGAACTCATCTTAGTTAATTACAGCGGCAATGACCCTATTTCCAAATAAGGTCATAGGCTGAGGAACTGGCAATTAGGGCTTTACCATATTAATTTGGGGGGGGGGGGGGAACAATTCAACCCCTAACAGGGGGCCCCCTCTGGCTGGAGGTGGCAGAGTCAGCAGGATGCCCTGTCGGCTGCCTGGCTCTCCTCAAGTATGGAGCCTGGATTTGGGGGCAAGGCCTGTTTCCCTGGTTGGAAGTCTCGCCCATGAGTCCTCTGACGTTTGGAAATACCGCATAGGCTGCTAAGAGGCACTTCTCTAATCCGTGCCATCCCATCCCAGGGAGGCGCTACCCTCCCTCAGCTGTCGGCTCTCCTGCCCATCTACCCTGAGGTCGGTTAGCATGCGGCATCCTGTTGGTGTGTTTCCATCTGATGGGGGTCCTCTGAGACAGGCCCAGTGTTTCTTTCTTCTCCGAGGCTGTGGGCTCAGTCAGGTTGGTCGAGTCACTTGGTCCCTGATTGGTGATGCCTGCTCGTGCCCTCACCGTCCCTCCTTCAAACCTCCTCTTTCTCCCATGCCTCCTCCCCTGTCGGCTGCCTCAGGGCATGTCTGCACCTTCACATCTCCAGTTCCGCATAACCCAGAGGAGGGCCCCCACCATACCCGGAGCGGAAAAGGGACATGCAGACAGACAGACCATAAGGAAACCCAATAACTAAAGGGCCCACAAAAGCAAAAAGCCTTTCATG